GAGGAGGAGGAGGAGGAGGAGGAGGAGGATTTGAATTTGGACAGCGCTAATTCCCGCTCAACAGAAAGCTCTATGCGCTTGACAATACGACGTAGATCTAGTGGTTTGTCTCACCTGAGGAAGATGACCACTCTGGGCACGGTGGTCAGTGTTTGCAGAAGGGCCAGCAGAGCGGAGAAGAGGACGTAGGAATAGAGATGGGAACATCCGTAAGGACAGAGGCCGGTCAGTGCAGAGCCACCTTTGATGCAAGAACATCGGGAGTAGACCTGCAGAGTGCAACACGTGTAATTGGTCGCTTTTAAGGACAAGCGGGCTAACCCAGATTACGGGGGTTTCCAGAAATCTAGACCTACACCAAAAGTGGGCATTGCCCTACCTATAGGAGAAGTTTGGTTTCATTGCTGTGTTCGTTTGGTTATATAGAGGAAACTCTCCTTGTCTTTTAAAGAAACTGAACATGGGTCCAAAACTATACCTTCCCGAAGAAGGGGCTTAAAAGCGACCAATTGTAAGTATAGATCTAATTAAGCGTTTTACGCCGGTATCGACACACTGTAGATTATTTTGGAGGCGGGCTGCTATGACACTGCCAGTCAGGGCCAACCCAGGCTGAGTGGGATGTAGTATTACAGTAGAGATAGAGATAGTCGGTGAATAACTTTTCACTTGGGAATCGAACACACTTTTTTGCGTGCAACGGGTTGAATAATGTCCATTTCAACATGAAATTGCAAGATAAAAGATACGTGTCTAAGTATTTTATTATACGTTTAACGCTCAAATAACACTAGTACTATGTTATTTAAAAGGCAAGATCTCGGAATTTAATGTTCGCCTCCCATAAGACCTAGATAAAAATGGATAGAGAGCCTTGAAAACTCCCCAAACGACCCCGGGTTCAAGAACGCCCAGTCTGGGATTGAACCGGGGCCATCCACTCTGTAGTCCAGCATGATACCAATTTAATTAATCTAACTAAAGTTAAAAGATAAACGAACAAATCTTAGCAAACGATGATTGAAGAAATAGCATAAACCCTCTTCGAATATATTAACATGGCACACGCTTAATGATTTAGCATTCTTAAGTTCGTCCACAGTAGCAATAGAGATGGGAACATTTTAAAATGACTATGGATACACTTTTTTGGTGTAAGTGAACACACCCAGAAGAAAAGAAACCAAATTCAAGCAAATTTTCTGTCAAAACTGTCTACACTGTACATGTATTTATATATATATAACTAGGCAATAAGCGTATGCGAAACGTACCGACGTGGACTCGTTAATAAAAACTTGTTCACACCCAGCTTGACAAGGGGAGTAATAAGTGAGGCCGTCTTGGCCGCAGATGGGGAAGTAACTGTGTTCTGAACATTGGCAATGTCTAACACAGGCCGGGTTCCAATCTCTGAGGATAAATGAAACAAAAGTTTGCTAAAGGTTTATTAACAGCAACGGCACTGTTGTTAGTGCTGTAGGCTACTATGAATTGTTTCTTTCCCCTTCTTTCTATCTGTATTTTTTCGTAAACAAACGTATACACATCCACATGTTAATACGAATACACACACACACACACACACACATACACACACCCGCACACACACGCACACCAACACATACACACATGCATACTACACATACACGTCTGTCTGTCTGTCTGTCTGTCTGTCTGTCTGTCTGTCTGTCTGTCTGTCTGTC